AAAAAAGCTGCATTAGCCTAAAATACATGACATGTTTCACAAAGATCAATTAATAAGGGGCAATTTTATATTGTTTTGTACAGTTTTAATATGGCCATTTATTGGAAGTCACAAATCACTTGGAGCTTTTTGCCATTGCTGTTTTGCACTATGCAGTGAAGACTTGCCAATCCAGAGACCATGTTGAACATATGAATAGGCTGTTTGCTACTAAAGTTAAAATATACAAACTAACTGATTGCTCACAGTCACCTAATTAGGATTCATGGCAGCGCAGTGATCATCGGTATCTCTCTTCTGAAAGCCCATCAAGGAGGCGGCCTGCACTGGCCATCCCGTAGATGAAGCTAACGCCGTCGCATAAAGCCCCTAAGGTTTCCAGCGGAAACCCCTTGGCACCAAAAAGCCAAGTGGCTTGGTTTTGTGCCACGAGAGATGCCCATCATCTGATGATTTCATTTTGTGACAAGCCCATGCAAAATTAAACATTCATTAGCTGTCATACGGATATGTTTGTTTTTTCATCTAAAAATATAACGAATCATGAACCCTTATTTGACCTCCTGGTATAAGTCACTGTAAATGAGGCCCCTTTGCCTTTTAAAATGCCTAGAGATTTCTTCAACTCTTCAAGCACTTTGCTCTTCTGAGGCACATGGTCAAAGCTTCCTGAAGTAAACATTAACTTTTAGGGATAAGTTTTTTCATACAATGACCCAAGTGTATATAAAAGCCATTGCAAAAGCAACTAGAAGTATTTTCTTTTTCTTCCAGGTGGAATTTTATTCAAAGAAAACATCTCTTTTTTGATGATGGGGAAATAGATCTATGTACATATATTTATAGGTTTAGTGTTAAGGTCACAGATGGACATTGGGCCTCCACTCAACTACGCCCTCAACGCAAGAACACTTTGTTCTATTAAACTGGCATTCCATGGTGCTCACCTTCCTGACACAATCGCTGAAGACAAAGCGGGTGCATAAGCAAATGTGGAGAAGAAAGCTGATGATGCCCAGCTATCAAAAGATATAGTGTCTGGGGTCTTAAAGGCTAGAAGTTAAACAAGGGGCCATCTAGCTCAGAAGCAACAAAGCCCACATGAAAGAAGCACACCAGCCTGTGCAATCATGAGGTGTCGAAGGTATTAGGCATCAAAGAACAAAATATGTCATTGAGAATGAGAGGTAGTGCGGAGTGGGGACCCAAAGCCCATCTGTAGACAACTGGACATCCCCTTACAGAAGGGTTGAGGGGAGGAGACGAGCCTGTCAGGGTACAATGTAGCAATGATGATACATAAAACTTTCCTCTAGTTCCTAAATACTTCTTCCCCGCCTTCCCCTCTATCATGATCCCAATTCTACCTTACAAATCTGGCTAGACCAGAGGATGTACACTGGTACAGATGATTCCTTCAGGACCAGTGCTGAGAGCAGCGATACCGGCAGGGTGGACGGAAGATGGGATAAAATGGGGGAACCGATTACAAGTATCTACATATAACCTCCTCTCTGTGAAAAGGATAACAGAAAAGTGGGTGAAGGGAGACATCGGACAGTGTAAGATATGACAAAATAATAATAGTCTATAATTTATCAAGGGTTCATGGGGGTGGGGGGAGTAAGGAGGAAAATGAGGAGCTGATACCCCAGGGCTTAAGTAGAAAGCAAATATTTTGAGACTGATGAGGGCAACAAATGTGCTTGACACAATGGATGGATGGATTGTGATAAGAGTTGTACAAGCCCCCAATAAAATGATTTTTTTTTAAAAGAACACCCGAATGATTAAGTGGCTTTTCCTAAGATTGAGTATGCTGCCACCCCAATTAGACTCCAGACCCTTGAAAACAAGGTGTCTTATCTTACCCATCCAGCGTCGTCACGACAGCTGGCTCATAGGAGGGACTCAAGACTTTTTGGCTGGTAAATAAACAACAGCAAATTTTGGTGGTAAAAACAGCTGTTAGACTTCAGTGGCTTCACATGGAACACTGGGCACTCTCATCTCCCTTCGGAGCCCCGGGGTGTTGTGCTTGGTTACCCATTGGGCTGCTAACTGCAGGCTGCCAGTTCAAAACCAGCTGCCACTCCTCGGGAAGATGAGGCTTTCTACTCCTGTCAAGAGTTACAGGCTCAGAAACCCAAAGGGTAAGGTGACCAGATTTTAACATTGGTAAAGCAGGACACCATTGATAAAACTCATATCCTGGCGAAATAGCCACATGGCAGCCGAAAACCGTGTACCCTAGCTTGTC